TGATTTGATGATAGCAGCCATTCTTTCTGGAGTGAGGTGGAATCTCAGCATTGTTTTCATTTGCATCTCTCAAATGACCAGTGATGCTGAACATCTTTTCATGTATTTATTTGCTATTTCTACTTCTTTCTCTGAGAAATGTCTGTTCATTTCAGATGCCCATTTTCGGAAGAACATATTTTAATTCCTCTTTATTTTACTACCCAACAGGTAGCATTCTCTCTATATTCCTTTTTTTTTTTGGGTACCGGGGATCGAACTCAGGTCCTTATGCTTGCGAGGCAGGCGGCGGAACCACCAAGCTAGATCCCCAGCCCCTCTCTATATTCTTTTGTACTTTTCTCTTAAAACATATCCTAAAAACATATCCTAATCTTATCAGTTAATAGAGCTCTTTCTCTCTCTTTTTTTTTTTTGGTACCGGGAATCAAACTCAGGACCTTGCTCTTTCAAGCCAGGCACTGGAACCACTGAGCTAAATCCCTGGCCCCTCTTTCTCTTTTTAAGAGAATTAATAGAGTCCTTATTAGAAAACCTTTTCCTAAATCCAGGTTATAGAGGAATTCATCCCAGAAGGCTGAGACAGGAGGATCACAAGTCTGGCCAGTCTTGGCAACTTAGAGCTTGTCTCAAAAAATAACAAGGATTGGGATGTAGCTCAGTAGAGCACTTGCCTAGAATGTGCCTCTAGGTTCAATCCTTAGAACTACCAGGAAAAAAAGACAATCTCTGCTCTAGTGACATCTTTATTAACAGACTAGGATTTGCACATATATATTTATAGACTTTCTAGTCTGTATAGTTGGGCTGTTTTTGGACCATTATTACATTATTTAAATGTAGTATGCTTTTAATATTTAGTAGCTCTCATTCCCCTCAATAGTTCTTTTTCAATCTATTTTCAGATATTCTTGCATGCATGCATTCATTCATTCATTTAAACATACAAACCATGATGATTTGTAGTATCCTCACTGAATTATACACCCCAAACCACAATTGGCTTTAAGAGTATTTTCATCACTCCAAAAAGAAACTCATTAGCTGGCATAGCCCGTATTCTCAAGCCCACATAGTTTTTTCTTCAAATCCTAAGCCTATTCTTTCTCTTGTCTAATTACACTGGCTAATACCTCTAAAATAATGTTCAATGGCAGTGGGGAGAACAGGCATCCTTGTCTTGTTTCTGATTTTTATGACATATATTTTAATCATTTTTTTAGGAAGTAGTCTTCCATTCCTATTTTTTTCAGGAATTTCTATTAAATTTTATCAAAGGCGTATTATGAAGAGAATGATATAAAGACCTATCTCTAGTAATGAAGTGAATTACATATATAAGCATATTTCTGTATGACCACCCTCACATTTGGTCAACATGTATTATTTTCTTAAAGTTGTATTAGAGTCTGTCCATTCAGGATTTGCACTGAATTTCTTATGTAGTACTGATCTGTTATATTTTTATATGTTACCTTTATCAGGTTAGGTACCAATGTTGTTTCACAAAAATTAGAAAATTTTTCTTTACTGAAAAATACATGTAACATTGGGACTATAATTTAGTTGGAAATGATCTAGGTGTGGTATTTTATGTGGCAGTTGAAAACTGTTCTCTACTCCTTTTATGAAAACTGGTGTATTTATATTTTCTGTCTTTATTGGGGTTGGAGTTAGTATAATATATATACTTGGAAAACCACCCAGTTCAACTTGGCTTTCAAATTTACATAGCAAGACAGGCAAAGTAAGCTTTGTTACATAAAAGCACTTTCTCTGTATCAGTTATTTGTCCCTTTTGTCATTCCTTTTTTTTTTTTGGTACTGGGGATCGAACTCGGAACCTTGCACTTGGCAAGGCAGGCAGCAGAACCACTGAGCTAAATCCCTGGCCTCCTTTTGTCATTTATCTTTTATATAGGTGCATTTCTCTTTAAGCATCAAATGGTTTGTCTATTTATTTTTTATTTAAAAAGAAATCTGTCTGCTAATTCAATCTGGTTTTCTACCTCTTCTTTTATTTTTATTTTTATTTCCTTCCTTTTGTTTGTTTCTTTTGGTACCAGGGATCAAACTCAGGACCATGCGCTTGTGAGGCAGGCAGTGGAACCACTGAGCTAAATCCCCAGCCCTTTCCTTTTGTTTTCTTTCTGGATTTACTTTGATCCTTCCTAGGTTTTTGAGTTAGGAATTTATTTATTTTCATGTTTGTTTCTTTATCTATAGTGTTGGGGATTGAAGCCAGCTTTGCACATGTGAGACGAGTGTTCTACCACTGAGCTACATCCCAAATCTCATCTTCTGTTTTTATTGATAGAGATATAGGGCTAAGAATTTTCTTTTGATCACTTTTTAAACATATCCTATAGGTCCTGAGTCCTGATATGTGGTATTTATCTTTTTTTTTCTGTAAACCCTGTAATTTTTTCTTTGTATTTCACCTTTAACACAAGCACTATTTAACAGATGGCTTCTAAATTCCCAGATACAGTACTGGGTTTTGTTGTTTCATTTTAAATTTCTAGTTTTACTGCAGCGATCAGACTATTTGTTATAATATTTCTATTATAAAACTTGCTGGTATTTCCTTTGTGCCCTAAAATCAATATTTATAAGTATTCCATGGACACTTCAAAAGAAGGTACATTTTCTATTAACAAGGTGTAGGTTGGAAATATGATCAACTGTACTGATTTTGTTTAGATCTTGTTTTTGTTCACTTGACTGTCTTATACTAAGAATAACATGTTTAAAGTCTTCTCATTATTGTGATTTGATCTACTTCTTTCAACTTCTATATTTTGTTTTATATAAAGTTACTGTGTTATCTAGAACATAAACATGAACAACTGTTAGATTCTCATTGTGAAAAAAATAACTTTTAGATTACATACATAGATTACATGTTTCATTTAATTTTTATTTTATTTTTTGCGTTAATTTTACTTTGATTGGTACTAGGACCATGACCCCTGCTTCCAATACTGGGGACTGAACTCAGGACCCTGCGCTTGCCAGGCAGGCACGGTGCCACTTAGCTATATATCCCCGGGGACCCGTTTCCTTATTGTTTTCATTTACCTGGTAAATCTCTGTCCATCATTGGAGCCTTTACCTCCTGTAATTTGGAGCCTTTCTGAATCACAGAATCTTTTATAGCACAATGCTAGCTTTTTATATAACCATCTTATAATTATTCCGTATGTAATATATCTTTTTCTGTCTGATTTCTAAAAATATTTTATTCTCATTCAGGAAAGTGTATGTTTCTATTCTACTAGATATCCTATTTGGTGTACTTAATTTCATTATATCACTAACTGTTTTATAACCTCTTCTGACAATATGAAAGTGTCCTCTAATCACTACTCATTTTCTCTGTAAGAGTCAATGAGTTATACTTCTGTCCCCCTTTCTCCTTTTTTGTACCCAATTTTTTAGTTATATTTTCTCTACTTTGAACATGTAATTTTTACATATTATTGTCTACTCATGTCTTACCTGTATTGGCTCTAAAACAAATGAAATACTGATCATCAATCCTTTGGCAGGGTTTTCCCAGGCACCTCTTAGTTGAAGAAGGTTCATCACTCTATACTATGGTATTCAGTAAGGCAGCCACTGGACACATGTAGGCCTTTAAGAATTTAGTTCCTATTTATACTAGCCACATTTCAAGTGTTCATTAAAGCCAAATGTGGCCACTGAGTAACATTTTGGACAGCACGAGTATAGAACATTTTAACAATACATAAAGTTCTATTAGACAGGGCAGCACTAATGGAGGGGATATTATGCTGAAGGTTATAATTTTTTAAAGTTTTCTATGAAATTCATGTTAGCTAGAAAAATTCAAGGAACAAAAGTTTGAAGAGAAAAAATTTTATTATGTTCTACTCTTATGTGCAGTTCCAAAAATAGAAGTCCTGAAGATGTTTTTTGGTTTTTGGTGGGTTTTTTTTGAGACAAGGTTTTACTATGTAGCCCAGGCTGGCCTTGAACTTGCAGTGATCATCCTACCTCAGCTTCCTGAATGCTGGGATTATAGGAGTGTGTCACCTTGTTCAGCATGTTTTTTTAAAAGTCTAGTAGCTTTACAATGATACATCTTTGAGTTTGTTGCTCTTGGTCATTACTCCCCTGTACCCAGAGTGAGGTCTTTCAATAATTTCTTATATTGTGATTTTAAATATTAATTTTTTCTTAGGATTCTGACTTTTTTTTCAAGAACACTAATAACGTTAATAAAAGGTTGCTAATAAAATTAATATTCTTTCCTACCTTTCATTTCATCTCTAATATTTCCTTTCCAACTCTTTTTACTTCTGTACTTCATTTTCATTCACTTGGCTATTTTCCAGCTTTTCTTCAAAGCCTTGGATTAAATTTAAATATGAATCTATTCTCTCTTGGGCCCCTGTGTGATCTAGTCTTTGTTTTTCATATGGTTATCTTTTTCTTTTACTTCTATGCTAAAATCAGTTGTAGTTTCATTTCTTTGTGGGTTTTTTTTTTGGTTGGGGTCCATTTCTCCTCTTGTATTGTGTATCTGATTAAACATGACTTTTCAAATCCTTCATATTTGAACTATTTTGATATGTGATTTAGTATGGAGCGTTATATTACAATTTCTACCCTTATGAGAAATATTGTCATTAGTTACAATGATCAGATTTGCTTGGTTTTTAAGAGCAGTTTTGTAATCTGCTCTCTTCTGTTCCTGGTAATGTTACAGAAAGTTTGAATGTGCCTTCTTCTGCACAGTTTATTTAGTGGAGAGGAGGTGTACTGAGGAAGGTTGTCCTCTTTCTTTTTCATTTCTGTAGGATCTTTTATTTTCCTCTCCTATTTCCTCCCTTCTCATCACTAATTTACCTCTATAAGGAGTAACATTCTTTCTCTATACAGTCATTTATCACTTAAAGATAGTGTTATGTTCTGAGAAATGTATTAGGCAATTTCATTGTGTACAAACACTATACACTATATTTTCACAAACCTAAATGATATGTCAATCACGGGACATGGCCACTTGTTGTGGTCAAAAGACCCGGAGCCAGGCACAGTGGCACATGCCTGTAATCCCAGCTCTCTGGGAAGGTGAAGCAGGAGAATGACAAGTTCAGGTCCCACCTGGAGAATCTTGTGATACCCTACTCAAAATAAAAAAGATTGGGGATGTAGCTCAGTGCAGAAGCCCTGGGTTCAATCCCCAGTACCAAGAGGGGAGGTGGGAAGGAGACCGACCGACTGACCAACCGCATAAGCACAAGATATATGAGGTAGCTGCCAACATAGCATGGGGTACTATTTTACAGTAACCTTCTTATAATAAGTAGAAGTATACTCTAAAATGATAAAAGTATAGTCAAATAAATATACAAACCAGTAATAGTTATTTATATTATAAAGTATTTACTGTACATAATTGTATGATACTTTTACACAACTAGCAGCTTTACACCAGCATAAGCACACAACATGTAAGTAATGAATTCTTGCACAATGATGTTCTGATGGCTAAATACTACTAGGAGATAGGAATTTTCTAGTTCTGTTGTAATCTTATGGGATCACTCCAATATATGTGGTCTGTGGATAATTGAACAACATTATATGGCACATGGCTGTATCTCATTTTCTCCAAATCTCCACTTCTAGTTCTGTTTATGTTCAAGTCCTCCCTATCCTGTTGCCAGTGCTTTGAGCTTTTCTTGTATTCAGAGTTTTGGCCCTGGCTCTTTGTGGGATGACTTTAGGCCTTGAGTCCTAAAGACTCACTGCCACTACTTACTACAACCACAGCCATAGGGAGTGGAAGCTCCCCTGAAATGTGGCTTATTACTTTACTTGGTGTTACTTGAAGGTCACTGAAATCTCTATTTCCTAGTAATGCTGAAAGCCTGAACTTCTTTATTTACTGATTTCAGTAAGGGACGAGGAGGATGTGTTTAGGACAATCTGGTATTAGGCATGTGCCACTATTCTTATAACGCCAAATGTGTTTTAATAGCTATAAAGCAGTCTGTACCTGAATACACAATAATTTATTGAACCAAGCCTCTATTTTTGGAAAGTGATTGTTTCTTTTTTTACTAAAGAACTTTGTTGAACATCATTCATGTGCACAGATTAAGTATATTTCTCATTATTTCCTTAATAAAAGGACAGCTCTTCTTCCCTTTCTTGGCAGTATAGGGGACTGAACCCAGGCTAGGCAAGCTCTACACCACTGAACTACTTCCCCAGCCCTTTTATCTTGTGAAATAGAGTATTTTTAAATTGCACAGGCTGGGCCCAAACTTGCAAACCTTCTGCCTTAGTCTGCCAAGTACCTGGGGTTGTATGTGCACCACCATGTCTGGCTAGGTATACCCATTTTTAATGCTTCTGAAAGACACTATGAAACAGAACAATGGTTGGTGTTCTATAATAAACTATGAATGTCTTTGGCATTTAGTTCTGAAATCTTAAATTTAAATATGGGCCGGGGATTTAGCTCAATACTAGACACATAAAAGGCTCACTGTAATTCAATGCTTTGTCAAGTGTGTCCAAAGCTCTCATGTCTATGACAGTGAGTTTGTAAGATTTAAGAAGAATAATTAGCATTCTAGTACTAGAGACCCAAACCTCAATTACCTTTTCTGCTTCACGTGTATCATCAAAGAGCCTCCTTTGCCTTCTAGCAGGAATTGGCTTAGCTGTTTCCCAGGCTTCAACCCACATGTTGCTTGGAATCTTCATTCGGGCACTCAGTTCACCTTTCAGAACTACATTCCCCTTATCATCAGTCACCTCCTCTTCAATATAGTCCCTGGGTGAATACCATCTCACAAAATCTTCCAGAAGACAACCTGGGTTGGCTGCCTGGAATAGGACAAGAAATCCAGCAAAACCAGATAAAAAATCAATATTTACTGATAAGCCTGTTTGCAAAACCGTATTTATACAAAAAAAACCTAAGTTTCAGTTCTCCGTTTTATAGAAAAACATTTTCACTTGATGAACTTGAAAAAACTTCATGTAAAGTAAAAATTTTCTTTAAGAGGTTTTACATAATATTTAAAATTACAGTATACCTACTCAAAACTTAGGGAAGTAGCAAGCAAATGGAATTAAACAGAATAACAGTGATGGAAAAGCTTTGTTCTTTTCCTCAATAAATCAATACCAGTACTGCAATAAATATCAGTTAACCTCAACCCTGTTCTATTTGGCCATCAAACTCTTGTGCTTTATGTACAAATTACAATCATATAAATTACTTTTGTGCTATTAAGGAACTGGAATTCAAAGTCTTATTTTTCAAGCATCTAGAACCAACCATATTAAAGTGCCCCAAACATGCCCCAAACCTTTCAGTGATTCTACTTTCAGGCCTAGAAAAAAATGAATAGGCTTCACTGTGTTAAGAGGTAAGGCACAGAGATCTTTTTCCAAGTGTCCAGTAATGTACTAGCAGAGTACAAAAATGAGAATGCTCTGTCTTAAATGTGAAGGGCAAATTGCTAATGTTATCCTCATTTGGCTCAATAGCTGTAAGCCTGACTATCCTTACTACCTCAGGGATGCGCCCCCCTCAACCCCTGTCAGAAGATCCTTCACTGACTCAGCAATTTAAACTTCTAAGAGCTGTGTCACAGTCCATGGGGGCAAGTAATTGCTGTGAGCTGCAAGTGAATCAAGGTTACTTCATGATAGTGACACAGCATTTATGCACAATGATCTAGATCTTAACCAAGCAATATCATACCGATTTGAGTGAAGAGAGAAAGCTGAATATGAAAATATAATATTCCACTTTTGTTTTAGATGTATAAAAAAATAATAAAAAATTTTTACAATAGAATTGTTCCTCCTGATTGTCCTTACTATATTAGGCTGGACACACAACTACCAGGAGAGAGTACTCCATCTATAGTTGTTTTCTTTTTGCTGTTTCAGGTATACACTGTAAGGGCATGCTCCAGAAAAAACTGTGCCCTTCTGGATGTGTAAATGCCTCAGGCACATATCAGCATTCATTGAAAGCTCTGGAGACTCTTGCAAGGGCCTTGAATACTAAGTTGTCCCTCTACAAAAAGGAACAGGCAACCCATCTATTTTTAAATGATTATATATTTCCTTAAATAGATCATCTGATTACCATATAGGAACAGATGTGTATGCTGGCTATTTGAAATACAATCTGTTTTCTGATAGACAATGTTATTACAGAATTACAGGCACCCAGATTAATCCAAAAAGTTTACAGAGCCAGTTTTGCTCATACACGGTATGAAAGGAACTATATAGACCTTACCATGAAGGACTAGTATGTTTCTGTGGGGAAAAACTTAAGAGATCTGGAATTTCCTCCTGAACAACCTCTGCAAAGACAATGAAGCAGCACGGGGACAGGTGAATAGGAAGGCAGCTAGAAGTCTGATGGAAAACCACTGTTGGGAAGCCTGCCATACACACACACCCTCACTCAATTCCCTTTTCTTTACCTTTTTGGTTTTATACCTGCCCTGAGAGCCAAATGGTTTCTTTTTACCCACTGAATCAAGTGTTGTTCTTATCTCACAGTGGCAAGATAGAGCCCACAGGTTTTTGTATCTTAATCTTTAAGAAAAGCATACTGTTCTTAAGAGGTTTATTAAATTATTTTTCCCCTTTTAGTAAAGATGGAAAAAAATAAGCAGAGAATAAAAGGGCCCCTTTTATTACCACTTAAATCTGCTAGCTAGCAAAGACAGATGAAAGTGGCAGGAGTAGTCATGGAATGTTTATGTTTACAGAGAATACTCAAGTATTTCAGAGAAAAATCAAACTCAGACTGGCCTATATAACACATTAAGATTGAGTAGGGACTATGGATCGTGGAGAAAGAGCTCACCAAAGGTAAAGAAGAAGAGTCAGGGCCTAGAAGACAGTTCAGAATATAAGCAGTAAGAAAAGAAGCCTTTGGCCTACTCACTGGGTTAACCACTTGGGCTATTTTTTAAACATGTGGGTTGAGTATCCTTTATCCAAAATATGTGGAGCCAGAGTGTTTCAGGTTTTTTGTTTTGTTTTGTTTTTGGATTAGGGAATATTTGCATATAGATCATGAAATGGCTTTAGACCTTCAGTCTAAAGGCTAAATTCAGTTATATTTCAAATATGCCATAGCCTGCAGGTAATTTAATACATTAGTTTAAATAATTTTGTACATGAAACACACAATAGTTTCATGATGCAGAATTTTATGCTTGTGGCAGGTTAGTACAAAAGAGTTTTGAATTTTATAACATTTCAGATTTTTGGGTTAAGGACACTCAAACTGTACATGTATGAGTTTTTTGCTTTGGAAAATAATTCAAAACAAAAGTCCTTTGTGGAATGAAGATTCCTGGGTTTTTAAGTGAATAAGCCAATGGAATTATTAGCCGAACCCTATGTATTCTACATACAGGTCTATATCTAAGCCTAAAACTGATTCTCCAGGTAGCAAATACTTACTCATCCAAAATAATGACTCTTCTGAGAAACTTTCCATGACCCACTCAGCAGTCAGTCACCTTTCGGACCTTGCCATCTTAGAAGTCGTCACATAATATTTACACATCCTCTCCTGCAGTTTCAGAAAGTCTTCTTGACTTTCAGGGTGAACACTGTTATTTCCTACTTATCTACTTACAGTGAGAGGCACACAGTAGGCACTCAAAGGTTTATTGAGTGAAGGGATCCACTTTAAATCCTCAGAGTTTCTTAAAAGCCTTGCATTAACTGCCTGAGCACACAAAAAGGCAGAAAGCATCCCCAGTACACACGCAGAATGATTCAATTCTCAATTTTCAACTATTAATAATAGATTCATTCTTTTCTTTTTTTAAACTTAGAGAATAAGCTTCTTTATGACCTTTGAGGGATGGAGGTAGGATGTAACTATTAATGAAGTCCAAACATTTAACAAAAAAAGACATTCAGGCTTTAAACCACTTTTATAGAGTGACTTTCACAGTTTTATCCCAGAATAGCTCAAAATAGGCCCCAGAATGCTGAAAGTGTGACCCACCTTAAAAGACTCCATATCAGAGAGCAGACAGGCACTCTGCATGCGTGCTCGGAGGTGAGCCCCTTCTGCTGATGTACCTAATTTAGCTAAGACCTCAGACTGCTCTTCTAACAGATCTTCTGTCATAGGTGCTGGTTCCTGTGAAGCACAAAAGGACAAAGCTCATGAACAGCTCTTTTTTAGACAAAGCAGAACTGTAAAAATAGAACAAGGACAATAATTATTTCTGCTCTAGCAGTCACAAGATATGTATTTGAAAGAACTCAGAGAAATGCACAAATTGTTCAGAACCTACATTAAAAAAACTAACCAGAATAAATATCACTTTTGGGTTTCCTCCTCCTAACAGACAAGATTACCATGTTTCCCTTGAAAAAAAATTAAGAGCCAAAAGACAGAATTTGTGTCCACTATAAATTTTCTGGTTTATTAGTGACGCAGAAATGTAGTCCTAATGAACATCACTTTTAACTACCCAAATATGTACCAAACAAAACTTTCGCACTGATACACAGGGTGAACAATAATCAGTAAGACATTATGGTATGGTGGTTAAGAGCCTGGGCCCCAGAGACAATATGGCTGTATTTAAATCCCAGCTCTATGACCTTGGGCAATCCCTCAACTTTTCAGTGACTCATGAAGAATAATTTCTAAGACATATGCTCAATAAATACTATCAATTAAAAACAAAATACTTAGATTACATTATAAACTTTATACTCTGACAGGGAAAGTATGCTTATTAAAATACCTAGTCAAGTTAAAAAATCACATGAATTTCTACTTAAGCAGTATACTTGAAACGAGAGATCTTTTTCTTCCGTGGAAAAAGCTACTTTTCTTTGTCATTTAGCCTTGAGATCACAGGATAGGAGGAAAGGAAGGGGATATTGAGAGTACTAAATATTTTTCCCACCTAGAAATCTCAGCCAAGTGTAGACATGATAAAAGGAGAATAACAAGCTACAAGAAGACTATATATTCTCATATATACTACACTTCTGAATATGCCCAAAGTTTTCTCAAATACATGATCTAATATGATCTCTGAGAAGAGATCAGGCATTTTACAAGTGATGAAAGAGGTACAGAGATAAAGGGCCTTACATAAGATCACAAAGTGGCAAAACTATCAATGAGCAAACTGAAAAGAGAAGAAAAATAGCTCTAAAAGGCATTACTTTTAAGACAGTCTATGCTTCTAAACTTTCTCAGATACTATTACCCCAATCAAAAAGGACAACAAAAATACAATTAGCTCATTAAAAGTAGGGACTACTGTTCATTAAAACTTAAAGGTGGAAGAACACAAAAAATTAACCTTTGCTAAACTCCAACACACAAAGTACTTTCAAATATGATATGTAACTAATCCTGAATAAACTGGAGTAATACAAAATAGTATGCTTTTTAAGTATTTAACATTTATTAAAATTATAGATGTTAGAATAAGACAAATATTTTCATGCTTTCTACTTACTAATCACTGATCATATAAGTTTTTTAGATATCTTTGAAAATGTAATCAATTTAACCTAATTTAAAGGATGTATCTGAAAATTTTTGACATGTATACACCCATGAAACAATCACTAAGATGTCTGTCAAGATGATAAATATAGGGCCAGGGATTTAGCTCAGCGGCACCGTGCCTGCCTTGCAAGTGCAAGGTACTGAGTTCAATCTCCCGTACAAAGAAAAAAAGAGAGATGAAAAATATATAATTCACTTCTAGGGGCCGGGGGTTTGGGCACCTGCCTTGCAAGCGCAAGGTCCTGAGTTTGATCCCCGGTACCAAAAAAATAAAAAATAAAAAATTCACTTCCAGAAGTTTCCTTATGCTCATTTTTACAATATCCACCAAAAGGTGAATAAACTATGAAATATCCATGAAACAGAAAACTTCTAAACAATAAATATGAATGAACTATTGATACAGTAATGTACACCAATAATTATGCTTAAAGAAATCACACTTAATATACACTTATTACAGAAAATGCAATCTACTCTGCTGTTTTGTTTTGGAAACATGGTTATGCGATGCCCAGGCTGGTTTCAAACTGCTAGGCTCAAGTGATCCTTCTGCCTCAGCTTCCCAGGTAGGTAGTACTGAGGCATACATCACTGCACCTAGCTATTGTTTTTTGGGGGTTTTTTTTTGGTACTGGGAATCGAACTCAGGACCTTGCGCTTGCGAGGCAGGCAGTGCAACCAGAGCTACATCCCTGGCTCTACCTAGCTACTGTTTTTAAGATGAGAAAAACAAGATTTAGAAAGGAATCACAGTCTGTACTAGAAAAACTCTAAATAAATGGTGGTGTCAGTAAATAGATCCAGTTCTGCTAGATCCTAAAATCCAGGCCTACACAAGAACTATACAAGCACCATAACAAGATAAAACATTTCTCTTTTTAGCATTACACAATTCTGTTCTATAAATTCTCACATGTCCCATCCCAGGCTTCAGGGACTCTGCTGCCCATATGGACACACAGATCCAAGGGCCTATACTTGCATGAGACCAAGGACCAACCAGGTTCCTAGAGGTGATGGGCCAGGCAGTTAAAAGGAGTTCAGGGTTTACAACATCTGAATTCCAAATAAAGGAGATCATTTAAAACAAACATTAGAAAAGAAGAGTTAAATATCAATCATTTAGGGTTCTACTAGAAAAACACCAAACTAATTCCAAGGAAAGTGGAAGAAATAATAAAATTAATGATACAGAATATAAACAGAAAAATTCAAACTAAAAGTTGTTTTTTGGGGGAAAGATTAAAAAAATCAAACCCTTTGAGAACAAAAGAGACAAAATATCAATTTCAAAAATTGAAGCTGTGATATCATAGATTCTACAGACGTTAAAAAAGAATTATACAGATACTGTCAGAGAATACAAGCACTCAAAAGGCTGAGGTAGAAAGATCACTGAGAGTTCAAGGCCAGCCTGGCTACATAGTGAGTTCAAAGCCAGCCTAAAATCCACAGCAAGACCCTGTCTTAAAACACTAAATAACTAATCTAACTAAATAAAATGAATATAGTTGGTCTTCATCTTGGGTTGTTGAATTGATGGATGCAGAATAAGTGGATATGAAGGGCTGACTTCAGGGACTTCAGCATCTAGAGATTTCTGGAGGTGGGGAGAGGTAGCACTGTATCGTAGAAAATTTGTACGAGTTGTTACGGTTCAGACCTAGATGTCCCTCCCAAGAGCATCATGCACTCATAGGCAGGGCTTCTGGAAGGTGAGTGGATTGTGGGAGCTAGGTCTGACTTGCTAGGTCTAGCTGGAAGAGGCAGATCATTCAGAGTGTGGCCTGGAGGCATTGACCTCCTTCACCAGTTCCTCCCTTCACTCTCTCTGCTTCCTGTCTGCCATGATGTGGACAGTTTCTAACTGCCATGCCCCTGTGCCATGACATTGCGGCTTGGAGCCAGTAACTGTGGACTGAAATGTGAGTGGAAATAAACCTCTGCTTCCTTAAGTTGTGGGTATCAGGTATTCATCAGTGAAACCAGTCAGAATCTGGAGTTTTATTTATAGGAATATTTTCAGTTATAGCTTATTTTCAAATTTCTGTAATAGACACAGAATTAGCCTTATTAAAATTTTTTAAACTTTTGGTAATTGTGTTTTCTAAGAAATTTTTCCTTTTTCTAAATAAGTGTAGCAAGATTGCTACATTTGCAACAAACAAATATCAACTTTCTGTGCATCAAGGAAAAAATTAGAAAATGAAGATTTAAAATACCATTTATGATAAGATTTAAGAAATTTTTTACACTAAGCAAGGACACCAATGTGACCAGTTCCAAGAAAAAAATCCTTGCTGGGAGCTCACAAGAGGAGGCTTCCAGGCCACCATACCACCCCCACCAGCACAGAGGAGGTGAGCTGTGTGGGTGCCAGCAGCACCACCTCCCACCCCCCAAACCTCTGTCGAAATGAGAAGACATGTAAACAAGCCTCATAACCAGACTTCCAGATCACCTACAGCAACCCCAAAGGGAAACAAGATGGAACAATCTGATATTCAACCACCTGGATTCCCTGAACTGGCAACAAAAGAGAATCTGGAAAAAATGAAATCAGAAATAGTTTCTCAGATAACAGCAGAGATTGTGCACATAGTGCAAGCCATGATTGATAAATCTAGAGAGGACACAGATAAAAAAAAATAGAGGAGCTGAGGAACATGGTGGAATCCCAACATAGGAAACAAATGGAATCCATAACACAGATGCAAACAGATTTCCAGGAGATTGAAAATCTATGCAGCAGAATGAGCCAATGTGAGGACAGAATTTCAGATATAGCAGATAAGATTACAATTAGTGACCAGGAAAAGAAAAACTGCTTTAAAATTGTAAGGGATCATGAGAAAACAACCCAGCAGCTGCTAGACAATGCAAAGAATAACCTAAGAATGATTAGAGTCAATCAAGAAACAGGAGAGAGTGCAGATGACATAAAAAAGCTGTTCACAGAAGTGATGGCAGAAAACTTCCCAAGCAGGGAAAAAGAACTTGACATACAGATAAGTGAGGCATATAGGACTCCAACTAGCCTTGATAA